GTAATCAGGGTTAGTGAGATGGTTCAGCTAGTAAAGGCAGTTGCCACCAAGCCTGGACCTGAGTTAGCTCCCCAGAACCAATGTGGCGAAAGAGAAATAATTCCTATAACATACTCATTTTGTGTCTCACTTTGTAATTCGGATTCCTACTGTATTTTATAATACTACCTCACAGTATTGTGGGAGTTAAATTGTTTAATACATATTACACATGTTGAAATAGTGATCATCATTAATAGGCAATTAATAGTCCAAATCATCTATCTATCTATCTATCTATCTATCTATCTATCTATCTATCTATCTATCTATATTTTGTCCCATTCATCAAGCTATAATGAATGAGTGGTTGGATCTCCAGTCCCATGGACCCTGATGCCCACATCTGTCTGTCCTCTGGGGGCTCCTGGCAAGAGCAGACTTACAGTCAAGAAAAAGTCAAGGTCACCATCTCCTCCTAGGATGAGGTGCAACTTAATATATCTAAGACTTCCCCTTCCCCACCCTTCTCCGTCAAGCAGGGTCTTGCTAGGAGTAGTCCTGGCTAGCCTCCCGTGCATGCACACCAGGCTGTTCTTGAACTAGTGGCAGGCCCATACCTCCTGAGTGCTGGGGCTACAGATGTGTGAGCTGCCACACCCATCCTTATCTACACCCTTATAAGGATTGTGTATCCCTTTGTTGAAGATGAAACAAGAGAAAGTCCATTTAAACCACTGGAAGCCAGGTGGGGTGGTACATGCCTCTAGTTTCAGCTACTTGGAAGAAAGAACTGGGAAGATTGTTAGGGCCCATACATTTGAGACCAGCCTGTGCAATACAGTGAGACATTATCTCAAAAATCAAACAAAAATGAGACTGAGAATAGATTTTTAAAATTTGCTCATCAAGAAATGTAACTGCAAAAAAAGGAGAAAGAAATATAACTGCTATGGATATATATAATATGTGTCATATTATATATTATATATATGTTTTTTTTCCTAGACAGGACTGCCATGGGTTATATAATATACCCTCTTAGGCAATATAACAGAATCTAAGACTTGATAGCTGTTTTAGGAACACTCAAATGGCTGGGTGTGGTGGTGCATGCCTTTAACCCTGGCACTCTGAGTTCAAGGTCAGCCTGGTCTAGGTTACATAGTGAGTCCCAGAACAGACAGGGCTACACAGAGAGACTCTGTCTCAAAATAAAAACAAAAAAACAAAAACTAAAACAAGCCCCAGAGCATATGCTCCTCTTGCAGAAGACCTAGATTCTATTCCCAGCACCCACTTGGTAGGTCACAACTGTTAACTCCAGTTCCAGGAGATCCAGTTCCCTCTTCTGGCTTCTGCAGGCACCAGGCATGTGCACAGTACAACATGTACTGCAGGCAAAGCACTCATACACAGAAAACAATCTTAAAAAAAAAAAAAAACTTTTAAAAGGCCACATTTTTCTGTGGCTTCTAAAAACCACACAGACCCCCAGTCTTTCTCTTTGACATATGTCTTCTGAAGGGCTTTTACGACTGATTGGTACTTCTACCATTTGAGTTGGTGGCCTTCATCTCTCCTTACTTATAATACTGCTCAACCCAGGATGAAATCGTTACATAAAGCTCTTGGAAACAGGAAAAAGAAACCACAAAACCAGAAAGATGCACTCTATCTAGGTAAAGCTGATTATGGTAAAGCTTGCTGCTTTTATCTAACAAATTAAATTTTTGATTTTTTTTTAAAGTTTTTTTTTTTTTTTTTAAGGTTCTGCGTGTATGAGTGTTTTGCCTACATGTATGTCTGTGAACCACATGCATGCTTGGTGCCTGAGGAAGCGGTGAGCCTCCATGTGGGTGCTGGGAATCGAACCCGGGTCACTGCAAGAACAGTAAGTACTAACCACTGAGCCAACACCCCAGTCCCTAAACTTTTCATTTTTAATAGGGTTTCACTATATTGCCCAGGCTAGCCCTGAACTCTTGGGCTCAAGCAATTCTCCCTCAGCCTCTAGAGTGGCTGCAGCTACAAATGTAAACCACTGTGGGGCACACTTACCACTATTAATTTCTTAACAATCCTGCTCCCTGCAGGATAAATCGGGACACAGAGGGGAGGAGCCCAGCCAACTTCCTGACTTCAAGTAAATTCAGTCAGGAAAGGCCGACCACCACTGCCTCCTCTACCTCTTTACTAGCTGCTCTAGAGTCCTCTGGAGTGAGTCATTCATTCCTCGACAGGTTTGAACGGACAGAATCAAGCTCTGGCCAAGGTTTCAACCAGCAGCTTATGGAAGCTTCTTTTCATCAGAGGCCTTATTGGTTTGTCTCATGACACTGGTGATGGATTTTTTTCCAGTCTTCAAATCATCCACTTATCCCAGAAATTTTTCCACTTCCCACCACCGGTTTCTCTCAGGATCATAAAGGTCTCTTAAGTTTTGTTTTGTTTTGTTTTGTTTTGTTTTGTTTTGTTTTTTGGTTTTTCAAGACAGGGTTTCTCTGTGTAGCTTTGTGCCTTTCCTGGAACTCACTTGGTAGCCCAGGCTGGCCTCGAACTCACAGAGATCCGCCTGGCTCTGCCTCCCAAGTGCTGGGATTAAAGGCGTGCGCCACCACCGCCCGGCCTTCTCTTAAGTTTTTAAGTTAAGAGACACACACACGTACAGATAATCATAAAGGTCTTACACACACACATACACACACAGTGTGGTACCTACAGCAGAATTAGGAGTAAGGGAAGGTTTCACTGAAGATTTCCAACTCTGAGGCCTTAGAAGCAAAACTCAACCAAGCAATGTGACTACAGAAAGGGAGTGAGGAAGAGAAGTCGTCATCCAAGAGTAAGAACATGTGGGAGACAGAAGGCCAAACATCCTGTCCACAGTGTGCAGTGCGAGTTTTTCCTGTGTTTGCTCATGTGAGACTATGCTTCCCCTTAGCCACACAGGGTTCTTGGTGGTTTAAGCCATGTCTAAGAAACAGGCAGCTGTTTCCTTTTGCAAGTGCAGGGGGAGCAAACAGAGCCTCACATGCTAGACAAATATTCTACCACTAAGTGACACCCAGCCCTGGTCTTCTTAGGAGATAGTGATGCTATTTCACTAGGCGGACTGCAAATGCCCAGGAAGTCACTTTCCTTTTACTTATTTATGCAATAGGTGTTGATAACTGAACCCAGGGCCTTGTACATGAACCCAAGTGTGTGATGTCCGTGTCTTTCCAACAGGTGGAATCAGGGTTGGCAAGATGATTCAGCTGGTAAAGGCAGTTGCCACCAAACCTGGACCTGAGTTAAATCCCCAGAACCAACATGGTAAAAGAGGAATGACTCCCACAATGTATACTCAGTACATGACTACTGAGGCATGTGTTCCCTCAAAAAAAAAAAAAATGGAGCTATTCTTGAGTACACATCATCAGTGACTATGAAAACTGGTTTATGGGTATATGCGCATGTCAAAATATCTACTTTGTATAAAGCACCATAAAATATATAGTCTCTAAACAGATACAGAGTGACTATGTGGTTATAAAATGAGGGGTGACTAGGAAATCTAAAAAGGCTCTTTAGGGAGGCAATTAAACACGTAAGAACCCTGCTACAGAGACGCTTGAGAAATCGAAATACTGAAGCAACTCTACTTGAACGTTAATGCAAAATACATGGGTAAGTGTTCGCAGCCGTCGCCGCGCCGCCGCCGCGCCCTAACGCCAGCGCCGCCTCTCGCTTGCAGAGCTCCAGCCGAAGGAGAAGGGGGGTAAGTAAGGAGGTGCCCATACCATGGCTCGTACAAAGCAGACTGCCCACAAATCCACCGGTGGCGAAGCACCCAGGAAACAACTGGCTGCTAAAGCCGCTCGCAAGAGTGCGCCCTCTACTGGAGGGGTGAAGAAACCTCATCGTTACAGGCCTGGGACTGTGGCACTCCGTGAAATCAGACGTTATCAGAAGTCCACTGAACTTCTGATTCGCAAGCTCCCCTTCCAGCGACTGGTGCGAGAAATTGCTCAGGACTTCAAAACAGATCTGTGCTTCCAGAGTGCAGCTATTGGTGCTTTGCAGGAGGCAAGTGAGGCCTATCTGGTTGGCCTTTTTGAAGATACCAACCTGTGTGCTATCCATGCCAAACGTGTAACAATTATGCCAAAAGATATCCAGCTAGCACGCCGCATACGCGGAGAACGTGCTTAAGAGTCCACTATGAGGGGAAACATTTCATTCTCAAAATTTTTTTTCCTCTTCTTCCTGTTATCAGTAGTTCTGAATGTTAGATATTTTTTCCATGGGGTCAAAAGGTACCTAAGTATATGATGGCGAGTGGAAAAATAGGGGACAGAAATCAGGTATTGGCAGTTTTTCCATTTTCATTTGTGTGTGAATTTTTAATATAAATGCAAGATGAACTTTCAGTGAACACAGTTCAACAGTTCAACTTTGTAACAATTATAAATAAACCTGTTAAATTTTTCTGGACAATGCCAGCATTTGGATTTTTTTAAAATAAGTAAATTTCTTATTGACGGGGGAAAAAAAAAAAAAAAAAAAAAAACCATGGATAAAAACATTATGGGGGATTGGGGATTTAGCTCAATGGTAGAGTGCTTGCCTAGCAAGCGCAAGGCCCTGGGTTCGGTCCTCAGCTCCAGAAAACAAAACAAAACAAAAAACCATCATGGTCACTACGTTTCTAAGCAATGCACTTGTCTGGCCTATGCTTCTCTTAGCCAAGGTCATTAAAATTTGCAAAGAAAAGAGTTGGAATAATGGCCAGGTGGTGGTGGTGGCGGTGGCGGTGGCGGTGGTGGTGGCGCACCCCTTTAATCCCAGCACTCGGGAAGCAGAGGCAGGTGGATCTTTGTGAGTTTGAGGCCAGCCTGGTCTACAGAGCGAGATCCAAGACAGGCACTAATACTGCACAGAGAAACCCTGTCTCGAACCGCTCCCCCCCCCCCAAAAAAAGAGTTGGATTAATTAAAAAACAGGCTTGTAAATCATTAAGTTTATAACACACAGAGTACAAACCCAAAAAGTAAATTTATTTAAATATTACTAAAATAGCTTTTAAAGTTATTTACACATTAGCTGCTACAATTTTTTTTTCCTGAAACGTATAAGCAACATATCACTTGAAAATTATTTAAGTCAGTGGAACATTTAATAAAACACTTCTTTTTCCATATGATATGTATGTAAAAAATAAAGACTTTTCAAAACTTTTTCTTTTATAATTCTTTATAAAATAAACCTGTTGTCTGACTTCTGACAGGAACAGATTATAATAAAGGTACACATGTTGCTAGTCTCCCTGGAAAGAAGTGAGACCACTTTCTCCCACCCACCACGAGACCTCCAGGGGGTAAAGAAAGGTTGACTGGGACTCTAAAGTAGAATTCTCATCTAGAACTCAGATCTAGAGCTGTAAGAGTTGAAGACAAGAGGGCAGCTGGCAGACAAGAAAGCCGAGTTCTAAGTGCAAAGAACCTGAAATACTGACTGTAACAGCAGAGACGTAGGTCCGGCGTTCTTCGAGGGTGGTCCGGCGTTCTTCGAGGGTGGTCCGGTTTACTCTTCTTGGCTTGAGGCACTCAATAAAACTGAGCACGTGCAGAGTAGATTTTCGTATTTGTTATGGCGTGCTAGTCAAGGGCTCAAAGCACACACGTGCAAGCACAAAACAGGGTCCTCTTCAACAGCCCAGCAGGGAGCTGGGCACCAAAGTCTGAAGGTGCCTCTGTGTGTGTGTGTGTGTGTATGTGTGTGTGTGTGTGTGTGTGTGTGTGTTGGGGGAGCGTGGTAAGACAGTATTTCATTCTGCAGCCCATGAAGGCTGGCTTGAAACTCGCTATATAGCTAGTGATGGCCAAGAATTCACAGCAATCCTCCTGCTTCAGCTTCCCAAGTGCTGGAATTACGGACACAAGACACCTGACTTTGAAATGTATTTCTACTGCTGGGGGATGTAGTTCAGTGGCAGAGTGCTTGATGGGCAGGGTTGGGCCTTAGGTTCAATCCCTGTTATTGGCAAAAAGCAAAAAAAGAAAAAATTTAAAAAAAAAAAATTCCGAACCATCAAGTTGAGGATGTACTGGAAACTGCATTTCTTTAAGACAAAAACTGTCAGGTTATAACCAAAGAGACTGCTTTGAATTTACCTACCTTTAAAATTGTTAAGTGTCAAATAAGGAAAAGAACTGTATAACATACCTGCTTTAAAATCTTGGGAGGGCCATGGAATTCCCTTTTACTGGGGAGTGGGCTTGAGATAGGGTCTGATATGATACATACACTCTGACTGGCTTTGGACACCAGATGCTAACACCTCAGTTTGTCAAGTGCTGACATTACAGGTGTGTGGAATGCTGGGTGTTGAACCCAGGGTAAGGGACAAGCTGTGCAAATGCTCTACCACTAAGCTTTGAACTCATACCAAGAACTTCTCCAAGTGGGCAAACGAAGTATAAAAAAGCAAATTGTAACAGCTCACCAAGGTAACATCCTAGACATGTGTGAGTAACCCACCTCTCAGAGGCTTTTTGTTACTTTCATGTTTTTTTTTTTTAAAGTAACATCTCATTTTGAAATTTTTTTTGGTTTTTCGAGACAGGGTTTCTCTGTGTAGCTTTGCGCCTTTCCTGGATCTCGAAAACTTTTTTTTTTTTTTAAGACAGTGTCTCATGTAGCCCAGGGTGGCAGAAAACTCACTATGTAGATGAGGTTGGCCTTGAACCTCTGACTCTCCTGACTGAGATTACAGGCATGTCTTGACATGCCCAGCTTGCAGCTATTTTTCCCCTTCCTTTTCCTTCTCCATTCGACAGTTTCTCTTCCCTTTCCACCTCCCAAACCCCCTTCACCTCTAAAAGCTGGTGTGTGTGTGTGTGTGTGTGTGTGTGTGTGTGTGTGTGTGTGTGTGCGTGCGCGCGCGCAGTTTGGGGTTGGGGGGCAAACTGCACACCCAGGTGATCTTTCACGACTTTCGTCTTTTACAGGCAGAAGCTGAGGACCACACACTTAACTGGTAGGAAAGGAAAGGTAACGGGGAAACCCACAGCTACAACTGGAGAGCTGTCAGACTAATAAGGTCACAAACAAACAAACAAACAAATCCAAAGTTAAAACTAAAGCTGATTTTGAGAAAGGAACCTAGTCCTTCTCTCTGGTCACACCACAGCAAGAATGATTCAGGCAGAATCAAAGCAGATTCTCAGGGAAGTGCATATACTTTAGGCCATGCTAAACACCCTTAATATAGTTCTCAGTGGAAACAGAGAAACGATTCTCTAAAATCACAGATAATCAGGCTACATAAATGATTTAGGTATTCCACTTTTATGTATGAACTTCCTTTAAAAAGAAACCAGTTTTCAAAAACTGCTCCAAATTCCGTCTCTGATTACAAAGTCTGAACACTGCTCAGAACTCGAGACGGGATTTCCGCTTCTCCCCTCACAGGCAGCTGCCCCCTTTCAGGGCGTTTTCGGGCTGCACGGGCAGCACCAGGTGAGAAATGCGGCTCCAGAGCCCATTCAGCTTGTCTGGGTCCATGTGGTTGTAGGAGCTGGCCGTGTCAGAGTTGGTGAACTTGACTTTGAGGAAATCCCTCACTTTCTCTTCAATCTCCTTTAGGCCCAGACTGGCTGCCAGGGTCTTCTCCTCCAACAGTACTGTCAGGACCAGGGCTACGTCTTTGAAGGCTGCGTTTTCGTGGTCACAGTACTTATAGAAGATCAAGGTTGAGCCTGCAGGCAGCGACTCGAAGCGGTGTACCACAGCTGCGTTCTGGCCGTTTCTAAACCCATCACTCAGTTCTTGATCTACTTCCTGTTTGACGCGGTCGCTGTCTTGAGCGGCTTTCCCTGCCCCGTCAATGCGGATGGCTCGGACACTGCGGAAGGAAGAATAGGCGTCGGCGATCTGCTCACTCAGGCACTTGAGCACCTCTTCGGCATCTTGGGCTGCCGTGAGCAGAAGGATGGCAGGCTGGGGCCGAGGGAGCGAGCTGTTGAGATGTCTCTCGAGGAAGGTTGTGCCTCTTTTCCACAGCTTCTCATCCTGACTCTGGTACTTAGACTGAAGTTGTCTCATCTGGTTCTGGAATTCTTGCACGGCAGTGGTTTCTACCGCAGGAGTATGAAAGAACCAAAATAATCCGATGGCAAGGGCGGCCACCAGACCCAGCAGCCACCACTTTGTCTTGAGAGAAGGCTCCCTTTGGGCACGTTCAGCAACTTCTGCACAGGGGGGGAAAAACACATATTACATTTTCTTAGATTCAAGAGTGAGGGATTTCTTTTCATTCTGTGTATGTGCATGTGGGCGCAGGTGCTCCCTCCTCAGAGGTCAAACGTAATGGGTCCTCCTGGAGTTAAGGTACAGGTGACTGTGAATGCCTGATGGGTGCTGGGAATTCACCTGGGTCCCCTGCATGAGCAGAACATACTCTTAACCGCTCAGCTTTATCTCCGGCCCCATGCGTGACTCTGTCTAGTACTCAGTATGTAGACCAGGCTAGCCTGAAACTCCCTGCCTCTGCCTCTGCCTCGTGAGTGCTGGGATAAAAGGTGTGTCCCACCATGTCTGACTAAGAGGGAGTACTTTAAAGAAGGGAGCTGGCAATTTTCTTTTTTCTTAAAAATAAATATATACTCTTCAGGAAAAGCTAATAAAACCCTAAGTTATGGATATATATATATATATCATAAATATTAGAAAGATAATAGTTTCTAAAGAAAAGTAATTTGAATATATTTAAATAAAAAATTTTCATATTTAAAAATTTCATAATTCAGAAGTAAATTCAGAATAAAATTTCATAATTTCGGAAGTAAAACTGTTTATAAAGCAAGACTTATGAGTATTTTCTCATAGTTGAGAAGTACATAGTGGATGCTTTATAAAACTGTTTAATTTAGAAACCCAATAGTTAACATGGCTGGCTATCTGGAGTAGAACATTTCTGAAGTATATAAAGGATCCAATATAAATGAATGCATTCCATAGGCTACACCAGCTACTTGTCCATGTAAACTCACTGTACTGTTACCTATCTTTGTGGCATGCAAGTCGACAGTGTTAAAACTCGGGCACCAGGGCTGGAGAGATGGCTCAGAGGTTAAGAGCACCAGCTGCTCTTCCTGGGGCCCTGAGTTCAATTCCCAGCACCCACATGCATCTATAATGAGACCTGGTGCTCTCTTCTTACCTGCAGGCATACATGCAGGCAGAATACTGTATACATATAATAAATAAACAAATCTTTAAAAAAAAAAAAACCTCTGGCACTAAACTTGTCATTATTACTGGAAATAATTATGGTATCATTTTGCTTACATAATGCTTTTCAATTTATACAGCATTTTTCATAGATCACTTCATTTACCAACAAATATACTTGTGATACCACTTCTGAATCTTCTATTTATGGATTACTTTAGCCTAACAGATGAACAGGGACCTTTTAGAACAGCAGTCTCAGAGTGCGGGCTGCAGCTATCTCAAGTAATATTTAGTAGGTGTTGTTCCCCAAATTAGCAGTAAGGTTTTTTTGTTTTGTTTTGTTTTTGTTTTTCGAGACAGGGTTTCTCCGTGTAGTTTTGGTGCCTGTCATGGAACTCACTCTGTAGACCAGGCTGGGCTCAAACTCACAGAGATCCGCCTGGCTCTGCCTCCCGAGAGCTGGGATTCAAGGCCTGCGCCACCACCACCCTTATTATGTTTGTATATGCGTGTGGAGGTCAGAGGACGGCTGTCAGGAGTCAGTTTTCTTCTAACGTGTGGGTACTGGGGACCAGACTCCGGGCATCAGGCTTAGTGGCAGGCAGCTTTACCTACTGAGCCAGGGCACCAGCCCCTCCCCCAATTTGTTGTTGTTGCTTTTTTTTTTTTTTTTTTTTTTTTGAAATGGTCTCTTTGCATAGCCCTGGCTGGCCTGGAACTCACTATGTAGACCATGCTGACCTTGAACTCACAGAAATCCACCTGCCTCCTGAGTGTTGGGTGATCCTCCTGTCTTCCCCTCTTGAGTGCTGGGATTACAGGCATGGGATACACCTGGCTATACAGACTGCTTTAAAGATGAGTTCTCACTCTGTAGTCTGGGCATGATTCTCCTACTTCAATTCCCCACCACACCTAGTAAAAATCTGCATAGCTTAGTGAATCAAAGAATTTTCTAATGACCAATGCATGACGTCCCATTCAAATTTTTATCAATAATTTTGGTCTTTGTTCATTAATAGAAGTTTGCCAAAAAATTTTCTTTATTTTTTCTCCTGAATTTTCTATTCTCTCTGTTTCATCATCCTGACCAGCATGACTTATTCCAATAGGCATTTGGTTATTTAATTGCTCTGAGTAGGGGTTTCCTCTACGACTGCAGGAAAGGTTTGAACTGGATTTGCTATTGGGGCCTGCATGAGGCCCCTCTGGGAGTTTCCCGAAGACTGAGGCAAAGGATTACCCTGTCTGTCCCTTGTTGATCTACATTCGTTGGTCCAGTGTTTTCCCTTACCACACCTTCTGCATACTCCAGAAGGAAGGGGCATTATGTTGCCATTGTTCCTTGAGGAAACATTGTTTCTAGGAATGACCTGTTTACAGTCCCTTTTCAAATGTCCTTGCTTTCCACATGCAAAACATCTAACATTCCTCAAACCTTTTGAAATTGCTTCTCCTACCCACGTATCATCATGCTCATGAGTTTCAACATTAACCGTGTCTCTAATCCAATCTTCCAAAGGTGCAGATCTTGCCTTTAACGGCCTGATTATTTTTTTGCATGCTGCATTCGCATTCTCAAAGGCCAAAGTTTCAATTATTATCTTACCAGCTTCTGAATCCGGGACCATTCTCTTTACTGCTGAAGCCAGTCTTTGTAAAAAATCTGTGAAAGATTCTTTTGGGCCTTGTACAACCTTTGTAAATGACTCAGTTTTTTTTCCTGGTTCCTCAACTCTGTCCCATGCATTCAAGGCTGCTGTTCGACATAAAATTAGGGTTTGGACATCATATAAACATTGTGCTGGTGCTGAAGCATATTGACCTTCTCCAATAAGCTGATCCTGGCAGACTTGTATTCCTTTATCCCTCCACTGTTTTTCTATGTTTTTAGCTTCATCCTTGAACCAAGTTAGCCACTGAAGCCTGGGTTCCAGAACAGCTTGTGCCAGCTCCCGCCAATCCTGTGGTACAATCCTATTATATGTTGACCAAGAGTTTAACATTTGCTTTACATATGGGGAATGCATGCCATAAGATACTATTGCCTCCTTAAACCTTCGTAAATCCAACATTTCGATTGGAGCCCAAATATTTTGTGTAGTCATTTGATCAGGCAACTGCTGTATGGTTACTGGACAAACCAAGGGTGACTGTGTGAAAACAGGCTTTCTTTCTGTAACCATATGATCCAATCTTGAAGCAACTTCACTGTTAGTTTCTTCTGTCTGAGTTTTTACAGGTGTATTAAGTTTTTCTAAAGCTGTCACCCTGGCACTTAAATTGACTATCTTCTTAAATAGTAAAATAAGAATAAATATAGTAATAAAATGCATAATTCTATCAACATTAATCTTCTCATATAGCTGTTGCATTGTTAGACTATCTAAAATTGCAAACGAAGCCCAATTTTCTTCTAATGAACACAGAAAACCCATTTTTTTTTTAATGTGGAAAAAATTTCTCTTTTAAATAGTTTCCTTTAAAATATTGGATAACTAAGTCCTCGTAGAACAGTACAAATCCGAGGGAATTTCAAAACAGCCACCTAGTGTCCGAGGTGTGAATCCAGCTCAGCAGTTAAACGGTTTTTAACGGATTCTTGTCACGTTGGGCGCCAAATGTAGATGTAATTCAGTGTAGATGTAACCAACGGTTTTATCAAACAAGAAACACAGAGCCGATTCAGAGAAGAAAGCCAAGAGGTCAGAGCCAAGAGTCTCACCCTTCCTGATTCAGGGATCCTCCTCAGCCCAGAGAGCTCTCCGAAAAAGAGCCCTACTTCCTGTGTGTCTGTCTCTATCGTCTCCTTGTTCTGGCTTCTCATTGGTTGAAAACCCAATCATGTGACTGCCTCGTCACTGCCTGTATGTACCGCCCTCCAGGTCCTTAAAGGCGTACGCCACCACTGCCACGCACTTGCTATGGCTCTAATAGCTGTGACCCCAGGCAACTTTATTTATACCACCACAATGTGGTGGCACACACCTGTAACCTTAGCACTTGGAAGGTGGGGGCTGTAGCATCAAGAGTTCAAGGCCAGCTTCAGCTACATAGTGAGTTCAAGGCCAACATTGGCTATTTAAAAGCTCGCCTCAAAAACAACACACACACACACAGCCCACCAAAAAAGGAACTAACAAAACAATTCTAAAAATTGTAATGCAAGAGCACCAGAAATTCATTAACAGTTTCTGATTTCCCATTTCAGACTGCTCTTAGGAAACTACTGCCATTCCTCTTGTGTGTCAGTCCTCTCGCCCACCACTCCCACCTCCTTTATCCTAAGCACTCATTTTCACACCCCCTTAGTCTTCTTTCTCACCCACCACTCCCACCTCCTTTATCCTAAGCACTCATTTTCACACCCCCTTAGTCTTCTTCCTAGTGTTTTATGCTTTACCCACAATCACATCTCTTTATATGCACATATAACATACATTTAAGTATATTAAATTTATACATATACACACTTACACATTACAGGCTGGAATCTGCATATAAGAGAACATGTAGTTTCTGTCAGAGTTTGGACCACTTTCCTTAATGTTATACTTTCCAGATGCATTCATTTCCTTAAAAATTCCCTAATTTTACCTTTCTATATATCGGAATAAAATTCCATTGTATGTATATATACCACATTTTCATTATCCGCTCATCTGCGGATGGACAACAACCTAGTTCCACTTGCTGTCGTGAATAGAAAAGCAATGAACATGGATGGATGTCCAAGTGTCTCTGTGGTAGGACACGGAGTTCTTTAGCTGTATGCCCAGGTGGTATAAATGGGTGATATGGCAGCTCTTTAATTTTTGCGAAACCTCCATACTGATCTCCATAATGGCTGCGCCAGTTTGTACTGTCACCGGCAGTGAATAAGGTTTTTTTTCCCACGTCCTCACTAGTATTTACTGTCAGCTGTTCGATATTGAAATTGCAAGGAAAAGTCCACAATTCCACGAAAAGGCTTTTAAAATTCTTCATATCTGAACAATATTCTTAGATACCTAAATACAGAAGTAGGTGTGAGAATCCAACTAAAGTTTATTAAAGTAGAGATTAATTTCTAGGTAAATATGAATAGGTTTAATCCGCTGTTTATTTCTTCTTAAAGCACCCCAGAAAGTTAAAAATAAAGTGCTATGTGATCCAGCAACGCCATTGCTAGGTACATACCCAAAGGGATGTATTCAATATATGGAGGAGACATCTGTATCCCAGGTTCACTACAGCAATGATTCATAACATCCAACAATGGAGACCACTTAAACGTCCATCAGCTTAGGAGTGGATAAAGAAAATCATCCATAAAAGAATCCTGTCATTTTCAAATTAATTCAAACCCTTTGGGGGTACTTTATTAATGTAGAGATATAAAATTTTGAGAATCACTAGTGATTTCTTAGTACTCATTATTCAGGGTAACAGGCTTTTGGAATAAAAAACTTCCTCAAGGCCATATAAAAAGTAAGTGGTTCAAACACAGGTCTGTGGACCCTGGAGCCCGCAGCGTTTGCTTCTACCACACTACGTGCCGCCTTTCTGCTAATCCAGCATAGTTCGGTCTGCTAATGGTAACAGGGGCTTACTTACTAACCAACAGTTTTTAGTTAATTTATTAGTATCATGTGTGTGCACAGGCCATGACTGATGTGTGGGTGTGAGCATGTATCGAATGGAGGTCAGAGTATAACTCTGTGGAGTTACTTTTCTCCTCTACCTTTTCGTGGGTTCTGGAGACTGAAATCAGGTGGTGAGGCTTTTACAGTATGTTTTTTTACCCACTAAACAATCTCTCCAACTTTGATTTTTGATATTATGAACAATAAAGTTAAGAGGAAACTAGACATTTCATATAGTTGCCTACACAGAACTTCACTGCTGATAACACATATACTTTTTCCATAGAAGTACTTATATGATGCCTTAAATACCATTAAGTCACAGAGCTGTCAAAAAATAAAACAAATACAGGCCACCAAGTTTAGACTCACTTAATGAATAGATAAACTTACGTTGGCTAGAGGTTGAGGTTGATGGAGATTGGTGTCCAAGCTCTGATTCCTGAATGCTGTTATCTAAAATAAAAAATAATTTCAAAGGACTATCAATTTTATGTTTTATTTGCCCACTTATTTCCATTAGAGAAAGAAAATGCAAATTCTACCAAAAGAAGGTAGAGGCAGTAGGTGAGGCAGAATACCCGAATGCCTGTTGCACTGAAGGCCCCAGCACAGAGTGAACATTTAAACCTCAGTGTTGAGAGAAAGCCCTGCAGTTTATTTAATAGGAACGGCAAATTTTGGGACAAAAGTAAGAAGACAAAAAAAAAAAAAAAAAAAAAAATAAGGACACTGTAACAAAAGCATGAAATCATCTGGAAGGTGACCATTTACTAAACTGCTGCCTAGTGAAGATACAGTAAAGAGGAAGAAAATGTAGACTATGGAGTTCCTAAACTACCTGAAATAAGCTATTTCTCTACAAAACTCAATCTTAAATCCTCATTATTTCCTATCTTAGAATAACTGAAATATCTCTTCTGGGGATTCTGACAATTTAAGTTTTTAATAATGTTTTTAAAATCTTATAAAACAAAACAAACTTGCTTCAGGAGGCAGAAAGGTTCAGCAACCTCACTGGTCTGGCCTCCATTTGCCATTATAGCCATCTCCCATGTGCCTGAAGTAACTTCTGCATGGGCACCTTTTAAATAGATAAATGATCTTCCTTGTGTTTATTAACAGCTTCTACTTGAGAAACACTGGATTAGACCAAGGAATAAAGATAGCACTGCTAAGATACAGAAATTGTCTTGAGTCATATGACCAAAAAACCAGAAACAAAACTGAAATACTCAATAACCAAGATAAGATGACATCATGCTAACTCTAAGAGCCATACTGTTTTTCAATTACTAAATCTGCTGAAGAAACTTTATTAGAAACTTCTAAATTATTCCATGAAGTTACAACTGCATTATTAAAAACCAAGTAATAAAAAAGCCCCAAATACATCAGATGTTCATCTTAAATACTTCATTACATGGTTGCAAAGATCAAGCAGGATACATGACAAGTGGTGTGATGGATATAACAAATAACTAAGTGTTACAATGTATTTTAATGTATTAATATGTATCATACACTATGCATGTAATCCACAAATCACAAGCACGCTTTTAAGTCTGCTATGTGTGAACTGCTGAGGTAGGACACGGCCTAAAGGTGAGATTCTCTCTCTGACTAGAGGCAGTAATCACTAGAGTCTAGAAAGTCACTAGGGGCAGTAAAAACCAGAAAATCTGTAGATTTTTGAGCCTGAAGATTACAGCAGCAGTCACTCACTCCATAAAGAGGAGAGGGCGTGAACCCACCACAGTTCTTGATTTGTACGGACCACAAGTAAACTAACAATTACATGATAAGACTTAAACATCGTGTTGAATGCAGAAGACTCATCACAGTAACTGACCCAAGGTACAGCTGTCTTTAAAGGTAAGAAAGCTGAAGTGCAGAAGTCTTGAATCAGCACCTGGGGAGCTGGGAATGCTAAGAGGTGTGTGTACATTCCCACTTTTGAGAGGCCCCAAAACATGTTTCAAAGATCTGATCTCTCCAGACATATTTTAAACTATTTTATCACAAGGTAAGCAGAAAGAAGTACAGAGTGACTACATCTTAGCTAAGGTTAGGATGCAGATGGAAACCTGAACTGGGACCTTTTCCACCCAGGGAACTGGTGCTAACATGAGAGGACAGGAGGAAAAAGAAGTTCCACGTTCTGAAACAAACAATTAAAAACACCCCCCCACCACGGCAAGCAGAAACGCATAACCAACAGAATGATGTGACATTTAGAATGCTGAGAGAGAGAGATGAGAGGGTTGGGGGGGGGGGGGGGGAGAATGAGTATTAGCCAAGCATGATGGTGTACACCTATGATCCCAGCACTCAACAGGTGGCAAGAAGAAAAGGAGATGGGAAAAGGAGAAGGCTCATGTTGGCTACGTGAGACCCTGTCCAAAAGCCAAAAAGCAGCAACCAAAACCAAAGCAAGACCCCAAGAGGAAAGTTTGAACAATGATCTCAAGAGTCATCTCTGTAAAGGCTGTACAAATCACCGCAGGCTTCTTTCACAGTTAGAAATACTTTCTTCCTGTCCCTTGTTTTACCCTAAACAAAACTCTGTTAAAGGACCAATAATCTTCCTTCTCCCATTGGCCTAGGTATGTAGCCCAGGCCGTCCTCAAACCTCCAACTTCAGCAGCCTGATTACAGGTGTGTACACTATGTGCAGCTGGATGCATGCATACTTCTTGTAGGCCATTTTTTCTACAAAACTCTCAAAGTTAATTCAATACCTAGATATGGCAGTTACAAATACGTAAGTCATAATAAATATACTAATGAAAGATGAAGTAGAAATCCAAACTTAAAATTCTGAAAGTTAGCTACAAATTTGATGAAAAAATGCTAAGCCAGTCATGGTGACTTTTTACCAGTACTTGGGAAGCAAAAGCATTTGGATCTTTGAGTTGCAGGCCAACCTGCTTCATACATCCAGTTTCAGGCCACCCAGGGCGATACATAAAAAACAAAATCAGCAGCACCAGCAGCAGCACTACTACATCTGTATTTCAAACATATGTTCAACATAATTTCTTGCGAACCGCAAGAATATCATAGAGATTCGGCTGTGTATTAAAGCTGAACTTTGACCGGCCAAGGGTCTGTTAAAAGGCAAAGCCATTTATTATGAATATTTGGTGTTACCCAGCCTTTAATATTTCAGCTGTCTTTTGCTATGAAATCCTTGTGTGCCCAGTTGGTAAACAGTTCAGCTCCCCAGACCTGCTGAACTACTAAGTTACTAACTGCCCTGCTGAGCTTAGGAGACAAGCTTTGTTTCCTGTGCTAGTGAAGCTCAGACCATCCCCTGGCCTTGAGGAGGCCTAGTGGTTCTCCAGAGCACTTTGACTGAGAACAAAAGAGGTTTCTACATGTCAAGGTGAGAGATAAAACAACATTCCTGAGGAGGCAGGGAACCACGCTCCCAGGGAAAGAAAAGGCAGGTATTTTCTGTAGACAGGGAGAGAACAGGATGGAGAAGAGAAAAGAGAATGGAAGAACTAGATGGGTAAGAACTAGAGGAACAAACTGAGATGGGGAAGAACTAGACTGAAGGGCTAGAAGAGAGTACTAAAGGAATGAGATGGAAGATGA